AGGAATCCTGGCGTAACATCGTATGGCTTTTATCTTTGGGGTTGATTAAAGGAGAAAGTCTACTCTATCCAAAGACTTTGGAAAAACTCGATGGGCGGATACAAGTTATGTCTTCCATATCACAAGAGTTCCTGGTGGATTTATTTTCACGATTTCTTGGGCGGCTCGAGAATCTTATAGCGAAATTTGGTGCCCATGTCGAATTTTAAATATCCTCTCATATTCATTTCTTGTAAAAATTACAGTTAGTAAATGAACTATACGTATTTAAAATGAGGAGTTACTTTTCATTTACCGTGTACTTTAATCGCTGTTGTTCTTGGAAGTCTTCAAGGGATGACGGTTTTGTTATTTAGTAAAGTTCTTTGAAGGAGAAAATGGCTGGAAATCTCAGACTCTGGTGTTAAAGTAGGAAAGGGGGGGAAATAAATTAACAAATTATCAAATGAAAGAAGATAAAATCAATGGTCGTTAAGAATAGGAACAGCTTAGGATGTGAATTTTGAATTGAAAACATTGTTTTATCTCAATTTCTTGTCAAAATTATAGTTATTAGGTTGTCCCAAAAGTTCGTAAACACTTGCAAAAAATTGAAATTTTACTCGCCAAGTAATAACAAAAACAACAAAAATTATTCCTCAAAATAAAGACCATCATTTTCCAAGACTTTCTGCCATCAATCTGCAAGCTTACGGATCTGGTGAAAGTACCATTCAGCCGGCTTCGAATCAAAGAATTCTTGACACGCTTCCTCGACTTCATCAAACGAGTCGAATCGGCGGCCCTTCAGAAAGTGTTGCATTGTGCGGAAAAGGCTGTAATCTGATGGAGCACAGTCAGGACTGTAGGCTGGATGTGGCAGAACCTCAATGCCGGCCAGCTCTTCAAACTTGTCTTTGGTCTTCCTAGCGGTGTGTGGCTTGGCATTGTCCTGCTGCATCAAAGCGCGCTTTCGGTTGATCAGAGCCGGGTACTTTTGCTTCAACTTTTCGTAGACCCGCTCCAGTTGCTGACAGTAAAGTTCGGCACTGATGGCACGACCATTCGGAAGCAACTCAAAATGCACGATTCCTTCAAAGTTCCACCAAACGTACAACATGACTTTCTTGCCGAATCGATCTTGTTTTGGAACCGACGGTGTCTCTTGCCCTTTCTGAACCGATCGCTTGTCTCGATTGTGCTGGATTGTGTTGCATAAAAATTCAATTTTTCGCAAGTGTTTATGAACTTTTGGGACAACCTAATAATAAATAAATTATAAGAAAAAAAAAAACAGACAGAAACCTACAAAGGTTGATAAGCCATAAAAAATCCAATTTTCTTTGTGGTTGATTAAAGGAGCATGTCTACTATACCAAAGACTTTGGAAGAAATCGAAGGGCGGATACAAGTTATCTCTTCCATACCACAAGAGTTCCTGGTGGAATCATTTGACCCGATCCCTGGACGGCTCGAGAAGCTTATAGCGAAATTTGGTGTTTATAGCGAATTTTAAATAAAACTTGATGCCAACGCTTTCCTTTCATATCCTTTTCTTGTAAAAAGTTTTAAGTATTTTAAAATGGGGAGTTACTTTTCTTTGCAGTCAAATTTCCTTCTATTCTTGTATAACTTCGCTCCTTTTAGATATATTTTAACAATTCTTTTATGTACCAAGTTCATTCGAAACATTGGCAATCATGGCTCTCTACAATTTCCTATCCTTCGTAGCGCTTAATAAATTTTCTCTTTTTGTTATCTCTCCTAAACCTTCCGCCATCCATTTACGCAAGGTCGCTAGGGAGGTTATGCATTGCTGGTCTTTGACCCTCTCGCATACAATTTGTCCTGTGAGTATCAAATTTTCGAAGCCCTCTTTTTTCATTATGTAACCTAGAAAATTCAACTGTTGCTTTCTGATGTTAAATAATTTTTGTTTCCATTGTCTCTAAAACTTCGTCGTTGTTCATATGTTCGACCCATGATATTCTCAGCATCCTTCTGTAAAAACACATTTCTGTTGCTTTAGGTCGCTTCTTCATCAGTGGGGAGATTGTCCAGCGTTCAGGTAGAAGGACTCGTATTACATAAGAGTCCAGTACTTATTTCTTTATTTTTACCATTTTTTTCTGTTTCTTAATACTCTTTCAGTGTCGCACATTCCGTTCTCTGATGAAACACTTACCAGAAGAATTTTGTAACCAATGTTGATAAGAACTAACCTTTAAAATGAAGTGTTTGGTATTTTATTTTTTTTTCTTTCTGGTATAGTGGGATTTCTTCTAAATATTCCAACTTTATGGCGCGCTTATGATCTTCTCTTTGTTCTTTCCTAATTATAAGGAAACTGTCTTCTTTGGTGTTCAAGTACAAGTCAAGAGCATTGGCAATTATTTTGCATGTCATCTCGATTTCTATAAAACACTTTCCACCTGATGTTCTTTATTCCTAATGACATTTTTCTGTTTCTTAATACTCTGCTTAGCTTTTGGAAAGCATTTTTCTCTATCCCAATGCAACTCCGGATTTCAGTGTCACCGTTTCCGCCCTCTGTTAAAACACTTTCCAGATATTTAAATTTTAAATACTTGTTTGATTTTCTGTGCATATGTCTGAGGAGATATTATGTACATTATTTACATTATTCGGACTATTGTCCTCATCTTTCTCACCATATTTATTAGAACGTTTCGTCCGTTGTACGCTCCGGCCTTCTTCAGGTGGTTGGAATGTCGAACTGAACCCTTTATTTCGCTCACTAATCACATGGCACAGTGGATAAAGGCGTTGGTTAGATCCCATGACAGGACCCAAAGAGTGTGAGTTCAGTATCCAGTTAAGGCAGTGGAGAACTTTCAGAGGGAAATTAACAGGAGATAACTCATAACTGACATCCATTAATCATGGCACGTGGAATTAGAACAGTCTACCCCAGTGAGCGAAATAAAGGGTTCAGTTCGACATTTCAACCACCTGAAGAAGACCGGAGCGTACAACGGCCGAAACGTTGTAATAAATATGGCGACAAAGATGAGGACAATAGTCCGAATAATGTAAATATTGTTTGATTTTGGTATCTCCGATTTGCAATTCATACTTTGGGATCATCCTTTTGCTAACAACCATACATTTTGTCTTCTTGCAGTTGATGTTAAATCTTTTTTCTCGCTTTCTTTCGTTACTGTCTGGAGGAGTTTTTGTAGTATCCTTTCCGTGTCTGCTACCAACACTGTGTCATCTTATGTTAAGATGGTGACCGTCAATAATGAATCCTAGCAGGACTTCTAATTCTATCTGAATTACCTCGCTGCATTAATTGAATAAGTCTGGTGAGAAGAGATATTGTTTTACACCCGGTTCTGTTTTTGTAACAGCAATATTGTCCAAAGAGCGTAAAAGCGTAATTGTCTAATTGTTAGATTAAGCTTTGAAGCGTTATAAGTGATTTAAGATAATGAATCCTGGTAGGACTTCTAATTATCTCAGAATCGCCTCACTCTTGATTGAGATTGAACAAGTCTCTCGGAAAAAACGTCATCCTCATAAGCGGTTGGCTGCCAGTAAAGTTTTTTGATTATTCTAATACCTCTCCAAATAGAGCATTGGCAATTGTTTTGTACGTCATCTCGATTTCTATAAGACACTTTCCACCTGATGTTCTTTGTTTCTAATGAGGTTTTTCTGTTTCTTAATACTCTGTTTAGCTTTGGAAAGGCATCTTTCGCTATCCCAATGCGCCATCGGATTTCAGTGTGGCATATCCCGTCCTCTGATAAAACACTCCCCAGAACAATTTTGTAATCAATGTTGATAAGAAATAGCCTTTAAGATGAGGTGTTTGGTATTTTCCTTTTTTTTTTTCTTTTTAGATCTGTTTTTGTAATTCCAATTTTATGATCAGGTGTAGTGTTAATTTCGCTGTAGAAATACAAAAGGCGATTATCTCCTTTTTTGTTGATACGACGTCACGTGGGTCAGGTGACGGCCTCTTAGTAAAGTTACATCATAGAGTGACGAATGTTGTTAGTTCGGCAGTCAACTTGCCTGTAGCCAAGACACACAAATTGTTCGTTGTTCCCGGGCCAGTCAGCTGCCACGTGGTGCAGCTTACAGGCTCATGGCACCGTTTTCCCTTTGGGAAGATATCTCCACCAGATATAGAAACTATTTCCAGTTCGCTGTCTCCATGTTGGGATAAACACATGACTTATCCAGAAACACAGAAGAATCACCAATTTGCGTTAGGAAATATTGCAAGTTAGTCTCTCTTTTCGTTCCAACAATTCGGTCGGTGCACTCACAGATGAAACCCTCAGTCACGCTGACTTCTGACTTTGCAATAACACAAACATCGTCGGCTTCCGATCAGTTCGTTGTGGTGATTTAATGGCGGTGTACTTTCTTGGAGTGAATTGATTGAGGTGAACCTTCCTCTCGGTTATTTGATGGTCATGAACTTAACGGATAAGCCTTTGAGCTGATCATGTATGGGGAGCTATTACTGGAACATTAGCACCCCCCGAACCGCTTTCAATAATATGTTCTCCCGAAGAAGAATAAGATAGCATCTAAATATTCTTTAATAGACCGGATGACTGTCAAAAATACACTGCCTACCTTAAGTACCGACACCCAAAATCATGGCTTTCAAATAGGCCTAAAAACTAACCACTGATGCTGATCTTAAAATGCAAAACATCGGTCAGAATTTTCTGTCTCTAACATTATCAATAAAGATCGTTTTATAAATAGAATTATTGATTGAAAACCATATCTCTGATGAGAAACGAATATTGGCTGACGTAAGGGATGAGATTAGAGTTGGCGCCAATTTGTTGTTTTTTAATCTTTAGAAATATTTGCTTCTTGTCTCGGGGAGAAAGTTTAAATTTAAAAGATTCAAGGATCGTAAAGACTTAAACGAATTAATCGGGTTACTCCTGTATCGATACTGGGATTATATGCTGTTGTATTAAGTGAGGAAGCAATAACTTTGATGCGGTAAATGTCTTGGCGCCATGTTATTTAATGAAGGCGGTAAATGAGACGTGAGAAAATAAAATATGATTTAGAGAACCAATGACATTAGAGAGAGAGAGAGAGAGAGAGAGAGAGGAGAGAGGGAGAGATGAGAGGAGGAGAAAGAGAGAAAAAAGAAATGTGAAGAAAGGATGAGAAGCATAAAGTGATATTTTTTTAAAAAAGAAGGGATAAGGCGGAAAATAATTTAAAGTTAGGAACTGCAGAACGAATACAAGACAAATATCTTTTAGATGAGAGTAATTGAGAGAGCCGTGTTGAACGATGATCAATGTTAAGAGAGTGAAACAAATGGGAATAGAGATAGATAGATAGATAGATAGATAGATAATGAACAGACCGAGATAGATAGATAGATAGATAGATAGATAGATAGATAGATAGATAGATAGATAATGAACAGGAGATAGATAGATAGATAGATAGATAGATAGATAGATAGATAGATAGATAGATAGATAATGAACAGACTGAGATAGTGTTATGGTCCGGTTCCTTGAACCACGGTGATAGTCCAAGGTAGAACCAATAAAGAAGAACACGAATACGTATATGGAATAATACAGATATATTACAAACAGGAATATATACAGAAAGGTAGAAAAGGGTTAGTATGAACAATCAGGTTTAGTAGTAATTGTCGGAACGCGACTCTGTTTCGGACTGCCTCTGACTCGACTGACTGACTTCACTCCAGTCTTCAGACTGAACTCTAGACTTCAGACGGAGCAGTATTTAGTCACCCCCCCCCAACGAGGGCATCATGTGGCACAAGTCCGGTTTAACGTGGGATCTCCGAGCCCGTGGGATCTTCTAGCCCGTGGGCTCGGCCAAAAATATGCCCTTTGAACCCGTATAAATGGGTTCAGGGTCGGTTTACCTCCCCGAAAGAGACTCCGCTCTTCGGCGTAGCCTCGTTTGGGTTCCTCCCCGCCCGAAGTCAGAGAGTTCAACCGATCAGCCGGTCAGCCGGTCAGCCGGTCGTCCGACTTCAGACGGAACTCTCTGCTTCCTCTTGAGGCGCAGTATTTATTACGTATGGAATAGTCCATTATGTTATTATGGGTAAGGTCCCATAATAGATAGATAGATAGATAGATAGATAATGAACAGACTGAGATAGATAGATAGATAGATAGATAGATATATAGATAGATAGATAGATAGATAGATAGATAATGAACAGATTGAGATAGTGTTGTAAGCTAGGGAAGGTTAATGAATAGAATAATCAAACGTGGGTTGGTAATGAACGATAATACTCAAGGCAAGGACAACACATATAAGATTCGCCAGCGGCGCGTAGAAGAAGTAGTCAACTGCTAGAAGTGACTTAAGTGAATTCCACAATGAATCTCCGACTGAAGACCAACATACAGTATTTACTACTGCATTTATGTGAATGGGGTCATATCTATTATCATCCGTAGGTATGCTACAACAGATAGACAGAAAGACATATATATATATATATATATATATATATATATATATATATATATATATATATATATATATATATATAGATAGATAGATAGATAGACACCCCAAAGTTTTCGTTCACTTTGTTTTATATTATTTTCAAGAACAGTCAAATACTGCTCTTTATCAATGATACCCTATATTCTCACTAGTCCTCCTGGTTCAGAAGCAGCAAAACATCCCCAGAGACGAATACTTCCACTACCGTGCTTGATTGTATGTTGGGTATTTTTTGGCTTTAGCGTTTCATTCACTTTCCTTCGTACATAACTGGAAGTCACATGACCAAATAATTCTAGTTTTGGTTTCATCTGACCACAAAGCAGTGTTCCAATATTTGCTCCCATGTTCTAGATGGCTTCTAGAAAAGGCTAAACTGTGTTCTAGCAAGGGTGTTTTCCTTGGGAGACAAGCTCGAAGTCCTGCTCGATGAAAGATTTTAGCGACTGTCTTCCTTGATGCATTCAACCCTGATGTCTTCACATTATAGACAACGTCCCTTTTCATTAATTTTTTTTCGATACAACTCTAACAATTTTTCTTCCATCCTCCCAGAAATTATCCGTTTTCTGCCAGTTCTTATTCATTCTCAACACAAGGAATCTCGTTGATAATGCTAGAAATTTTCTATCTAGGAACATATCAACTCCTGGAAAATGTTTTATATCCATTACCTTGATTGTTTGCATCAACTATCTTCATTGAGAGCTCTTTGTCAACGTCACCCATCTTCATAATGGCTGCAGAACAAATGAGTTATCACGGTACGTTACACTCACATATTGTCTTCTTCATTAGTCTTTCGAATGTTATAGAATTAGATCAATACTATTTTATTTTCAAACGGTGTTTGCATTAAATGTCAAATTAAGAAAACCCATTACAATTGCCATAGAGTAATATTATTTCATAATTTCCATACGGGGGTGTGAATAATTTTGGACTGCACCAATTTTTAGAAAGATCTATAACTATGAATCAGGTACATCGAAACTTCTAAAAATTTCTCGGATTATTCAAAACAATAATTGATGGTAAATTCAAATGGTACATGCAAATATTCATATTTCTTTAGAATATATGCAAATATTTAGTTGGGTCGAATAATTCTGTCCACAACTGTATATGGGGAAATTAATGAAAAAGTGGAAAAACTTTTCTTACGACGCGTTTCATCTTTTAGGAATTGAATTTGTTATGTCGGTGCGACCACACCTGTCGACTAATGACGGGTGCTGGGAATGTGAAATTTTCGATTTTTATTTTTAATCTAGCCGATTAAATTTAGATACTTTTTCTTTTCTTACCACCACTTTTGTTAGTAGACATTGTCATTGTTCAATTACTTTTGTTAGTAGACTGTGATCACAGAAGATACAAATTTAAGAGTTGATGCTATCGGGAAGGTCATTAATGAAACTTAAAAAGCAAGTATTACCAAGGATAGAATCCTGGGGTTAGGACACCAGCATTAGTACAAAAGATTCTAGAAGAGTTACCATTCAGGTTAGCTATCATTTCACGATTTAATATGAATGAGTGGATCAGTTCATAAATTAGTCTAGTGAAACCGTAACTTTTCAGCTTGAGGAGAAGACGTGTAATCTATAACCCTGTCGAAAGCTTTCGAGATACTCAAAGCTACAGCTCGGGGTTCATCATTCTTATCTAAAGCTTGATAATCTTTCCGCGATTATCGTCAGTAGATCAGTAGCTGATCTGGAGAAACGAAAACCCTATTGCTTGAAAACTGTTGTAGCCTTGTTAGGCTCAGAAATAAATATACAAGAGAGGAATTGAGTTAAACAAATATATTAACAGAAACAGTAATACAAACATATACAAAAGAGAGTGTTACAGCAAGAATGTTCGGTCCGACTGTCAGGGCTGACTGCTGTCTCCTCCCAAGGCAGTACCTGCTACTATTTATAGCTGGGAAAGTCCATGCGTGCGTGGGTAAATTACCATAATAGATAGATAGATAGATAGGAACCGAATGATAAATAGACATGACATAGTGTTGTGGCCTTGTTAGAGTCAGAAATAAAGACACAAAGAGAAACATATACAAATGAGAGTGTTACAGCAAAAATACTCGGTCCGACTGTTACAGCTGACTGCTGGAAACGCCTCCCCACCAAAAAAAAGAAGTACCTGTTCCTGTTTATATCTCGGACTGTTCATGCATGCGTGGGTAAATTACCATAATAGATAGATAGATAGATAGATAGATAGGAAATAAGAAATAAAGACACAAGAGAGGAACTGAGTTAAACATATATATTAACAGAAACAGTAATACAAACATATACAAACGAGAGTGTTACAGCCACAATGTTCGGCCCAACTGTCAGAGCTGATTTCTGGAAACTCCCCCCCCCCAAAAAAAAGGCAATACCTGCTCCTGTTTATAGCTGGGAGCGTCCATGCGTGCGTGGGTAAATTGCCATAACAAAAACTATTCTTGTAATGTTACTTTTCCAATGACATTTTTGAAGAGAGTTTGCTTTCCAATAAATTCATTTTTTTTCATTTTAAATTTATTCTTACCACACATTAAAATTAAGATTTACAGGTTGCTTTGTCAGAGGAACGATAAAGAGAATATAAAAAAAATCTAAAAAACCTCAATCTTATGTCATCTACGGAAAAGAAAATTTTAAACATAATAAGAGTTATATTACGGCGATGGGGAAACTGGGGACAGGACTGATAGCATTTCAGATTCTTCTTTGTCTAGAAGTATGTCCCATGTGCACTTTAAAAATTTTAACCGATAGAAATAATTTGTCGTAAATCTATATATTTTTAAGGTTTTATTGAAATTCTATTTAAGTTTCTACATGTCCTCCATTATTACTGGATAATATGATTTTGCAGTTCACGGGAAAACATTTGCCAACTGATCTTTACTGTAATGCCTGAAATCATTAGTTATTTTGCTATATTCTACACTTTATAACATTTTTACAGATTATTTCTTCTCAAATACAAATAAAGTTATAAATTTTCAAATTGCGAACTTTATGGACAGTCCTTTTCTTCTTCGATTCTCAGTTTTAGATACCTTGTTTGTTTTAGGATACAAGTTCAAAAGCGAATTTTTGTTTTTCTCTTCGAGAGACATGTCTGCTATTGGCGGGTTTCCTATTTCATGTCATTTTTGGAGCATACTTACGGACGATAATGTATCTTATAAATATGGTAAATGCTGTACATTAGTCCGTAGTTTGAGATTAGTCTACATTGGTCAAACTCTCTGTTTTCATGTTCTCTAAGGAAGCAGCTACCTGACTCCATTTTATAAAAGGAATTATCGGATATTAAATCATCTGACGTGGGTCGGTCGGTAGATATCCTTCAGAGAATGTAACTTCCCTTAAATACGTCTGCTTGATCTAGTGTTGACCTGCAAATCGCATAGGATCTTACTGATGACGCAGCAGATAATTGATGAAGAGATGGTATTGTGTCATCTGTGTAAAGAAATGGAAAAAAGAATTATGTATAAAAGTGACGCTAGCGTACCCAGAGTATATTTATTCACTATAGGACACTTAACGCACAGATATATATGGAGAAAGAAATATATATATTTATTATATTTATTATTTATTTTATTTTATTATAATTTAATATAATATATATAATATATATATATATATATATATATATAAATTTTTATATATATATATATATATATTTTTATATATAAATATATTTCTATATATATTTAAAATATATTTATCATATATATATATAAATACATATCTTTATATCTTTATCTTTATATTTTATATTATATTACATTTTATATATAAATTTATATATACATAAATATATATAATACATATTTACATAATTTATGCATATATATATATATATATATATGAATATATATATATATATATACATATTTAAACATATATATATATATTTAAACATGTATATATTCATATTATATATATATATTTTTCTTTCCATACATATATATTTATATATATATACATATTTATATTTATATTTTACATTATATTATATTTGTATATATGTTTATATATGAATATATATAGCATATATATATTTATATAATTTATATATATATTTACATATATATTCATATATGTATATATATATATATATATATATATATAATATATTTATAAATAATATATATATTAATATAATTTATATATATATTATTAATATATTTTATTCATCATATATTATTGTATTTTATATTTTATCTTATAAACTGATATTTATAAATATATAAAATATATAAAAGATACTGAAAAAAATAAAATATATAAAAACATATTGAAAAAATATAATACATAAAATATACTGAAAAATATAATATATAAAATATATAAAAATTCCGAAGCAATAAAATATATAAAATATATTGAAAAATTATAATATATAAAATATATAAAATACATTGAAAAAATAAAATATATAAAATATATTGAAAAATTTAATATATAAAATATATAAAATATATTGAAAATATAATATATAAAATATATAGAAAAAATATAATATATAAAATATATAAAATACATTGAAAAAAATAAAATATATAAAATATATTGAAAAATATAATATATAAAATATATCAAATATACTGAAAAAATATAATATATAAAATATATGAAAACTACCGAAGCAATAAAACATATAAAATATAAAAATATACTGAAAAAATAAAATATAACGTATATGAAAAATACCGAAGCAATAAAACATATAAAATCTATAAAATATACTGAACAATACAATATATAAAATATATGAAAAATACCGAAGCAATAAAACATATAAAATAATAATATATAATATACTGAAAAAATATAATATATAAAATAAAAGTAAGTGAAAAAAAAATCACTCTCTACACGGATAATAAGCCATTGCAGCATCTTTTGAAATTCCTCATTCAGAATAAGAAAATCCAGTCCTGTGCCTTGAAAATAGCAGGCTGCAATTCTAAGATAGAATACTTACAGGGTAGAAGTATCGTGTGAGTAATCCTGTTGTCACGGTCGATAGATGCACCTAGGTATAATGCAATAACCTGTTTCTCCGTAGATGATAGGACCTATGAGGTTAGCGCTAGTAATTTGAATGATATCGAGCCTAGACACATTGCTTCTTACAGAGAAGTGTTACAACAGTGCGCAAGAAAAGAACCACATTTACCTGACGTAGAAAATAATTAACTAGCAGGAGAGGCAGGCTGAGATATTTTAGAACTTAAACTAAGAATTCAAAGTGTAAATTCTAATAAGTTAGAATAGGGACGTCAACCTACGGCACGCGTGCCATGTGGCAATTTCCAATGGCACTCAGCCGCAAATGACATCACGTAGTCCAAACTAATAACTACTACAAAGCAATGAAGGTATTTAGCTGTTTCAATTTTAATATATACTAAAGTATATATACTATATATTACTATATAAAATATATTGTAGACCATGTATATTGACCTTGACTTGTATAAAAATACGCCTGCTGTTGGCACACAGAGTGATTTTATAACCTTAAGTCGACACATAGTTAGTAAAATGTTGCCGACCCCTAAGTTACAGTTTGGTGGAAGGAAAGGCAAATGGCATAACGAAGTCCGAACCAATAAATACTACAACGTAATCAAAGTATTTAACTGTTTTAATTTTAATATATACTAAAGTATATATGTTATATATTACTATATAAAATATATTGTAGAATAGTTATATTGACCTTGACTTGTAAAAAAATACGTATGCTGTTGGCACATTGAATGATTTTAAAATCCTAAGTCGGTACACAGTTAGCAAAAGGTTGCAGATCCCTGGTTTAAGGTATTGGCTTTGTCTAAAGTATATTATCTGCGTTGTAAATGGTGTATATATTTCATTCATCATGGCGGCATTTCACAAGGTTTCGTTTTGCGGTTTCAACTTTTTAGTAACGTCTGAAAATTTTGGAGTTTAAATCTTTCGGGATAATTTTTTATTTTAAGACATTTTTTAAGTTTATACGTTCTTTTTATAGATACAAATTTTTAAGTAAATACTCTGTTTATAATAAACAGTATTAACAACATTTACCGTCCTGAATGTCCCGGAAACTTTCATAGAAAAGCACGTCAGGCTATATGACGGTTCCATATAGGATACAGGTTCGATTCCTGTCGGAGGACGAATATTTTCTATGAAAATTTCTCGGACATTCAGGCCAGTTAATAGTGTTTATTATAAACAGAGCATTTACTTAAATATTTGTATCTATATATATATAAAAAAAAACGAATGTATGTTTATTTTATTATTTTTTTCTCGGTGGTTGGTTGTCTTATGACTTACAGCACGCGTGCCGCAAGTGGAACGCCAAAGCATTTCCAATGGCACGCAGCTGCAAATGACATCACAAAATCCAAACCAATAACTACTACAACGCAATCAAGGTATTTAGTTGTTTCAATTTAATATATACTAAAGTATATATGTTATCTATTACTATATAAAATATATTGTAGAATAGTTATATTGACCTTGACTTGTATAAAAATACGTCTGCTCTTGGCACACTGAATGATTATAAAAACCTAAGTCGGCACAATGTTAGCAAAAGGTTGCCGACCGCTGAACTGGAGCATTTTTTAACATTATTTTTATTATATTAAAAAATAGAAATACAAGACTATTTTTCAAAAAATTAATTGTGTTTTGTGGGTTTCATTTTTTAACAACTTTAAATCTGTTCTTAAAAAGTTATTCAGTTTACTGCCATACGTAATACACCTGTGACTTGTATAAAGATACATATGCCTTTGGAAACTGAATGATTTTAAATGCTTTCAGGACATAGTTAGCAAAATGTTGCTGACCCCAGCCTTAGACCTTAAAGAAGAAAATCCTTCTTCAGTCCCTATAGATTGGCGCTACATAATCACAGTGAGATTTACCAAATAACACAAATCACATTGCTTCAAGACTTTCAACAGAAGCAACAACAATTTCCAATGGCACATAGCTGCAAATGACATCACAAAGTCCGAATCAATAACTACTACAACACAAAGAAGATATTTAGCTGTTTCAATTTTAATATATACTAAAGTATATATACTATATATTACTATATAAGATATATTGTAGAACAGGTATATTGATCTTGACTTGTATAAAAATACGTCTGCTATTGGCACACTGAATGATTTTAAACCCTATGTCGACCCATAGTTAGTAAAAGGTTGCCGACCCCTGAGTTACAGTTTTTTTTTTGGGGGGGGGGACGCAAACGCATAACGAAGTCCGAACCAATAACTCCTACAACGCAAAGAAGATATTAAGCTCTTTCAAAACTGTTCGACTTCCATTAATAATAATAAGCTTAAAAAATTTTAAAAACAGTTTATGTCAATTAATGTGGTTTCCATATCATTATATATATATATATATATATATATATATATATATATATATATATATATATATATATATATATATAAAATATATTGTAGAACAGGTATGTTGACATTGGCCTGTATAATAATACGTATGCTGTTGGCACACCGAATAGTTTTAAAACCGTAAGTCGGTATATAGTCAGCAAATGTTTGCAGACCCCTGAATTTGAGGACAAAAATACATTTTGCTGGACGAAGTTGTGTATTATTTATCTCAACCGGACGACCTACCCATTAGTCGGACTTTACATCCCATCACACCTTAGGAAGAGTGTCCTCGTACAGTACTATGATTAAAATAGCCATATGGGAACGAAGAACACGTTCTAAGCGACAAACTTGAACTATTTCTGACCATTTCTGTTTTGTGATGTTGTGGAATTTGTAGGGAAGTGTATATCTTGACAAATGAGAAATTTGCAGAAGTTCCAACCCAGTATGCAGGAGTATGATATATAGCCTTTAACTTTCGCTAAGATAGACTTCGTTATCACCGGACCTTACCCAGACACCCTATCGTAACTTACATTGATATATACTCAGGATGGCTCGTGGCCCGAGGCCTTTGCTATAACAAATATGAAGACTCAGACGATCACCCACAATTAGTAGATGGAATATTCTCTAGACATGCTACCCCTCTTCAGTTAGTCACTAGTAACGGTACGGAGAAAGTTAATGAAGTTGTGAATGAAACCTTAGAAGGTTTAAATATGGACGACGTGACTAAGTTATTTTACCACCCAAAAAGCAACGGCAAGGTAGAACTGTTCTATAGGAAAATGCAAGATGTTTTATAAAAAAATAGCGGTAGATAGATCATAGGATTAATATATTAACTAGATACTCGCGACAAATTAGGTTTAACGTTAGCGATTCGACAAAATTGTCACCGTACTGCTTACTTTATATCAGGGACCTTGTTCTTCCGCTAGATAATATCTTAAAACGACGTCGACATTATTATGAAGACGTGAATCATAATACTGCGGATTTACACTAGTTTTTTTTTTT